TCAACATTCCCTATTTAGCCGATTGTGTCATAAAGCCTCCAACGGTCATATGCATTAAGTTTGATTCATTTGTTTCTTATTTTACTTATTAGAACGTTAGGATAGCTTCACTTCAGAGCCTATGAGCTCCATTCATCTATTGTACAAATCACCCTTAATCATGGAATTTTAATAAACGTATTGTTTCTTTTCAAAGACGAGTCTCTTTGAGTTTCTTGTGCATGTGAGTCTTGTGAGCGAGTCACTAGTCTCTCTTGTTCGTGCGGATCGGTTTGTTATGTGATTCAACAAACAACTTCGTCCATTTGACTGAGCGAGTCAATCGCCGTCAACATCCATCTCTATCATCGCCAACTTCCGCCAAAGCTTGTTGTCTTTGATAACTGTGTGATCTTAAGACAAAGGAGTAATTCCGATTTTCGAGTCCTATATCAACATGGCTAGTCTAAAACGTTTCGCTATGATTCCAACTCTAAGAATTGATTATAAGACATTCTGTTTTGGATAAGATGTTGAATGGTATTTTGAAGCTTTGAGTCTTAAGAAGTTTGTGGAGATTTTCCACCCCACTTATGTGAATATTGCACGAGTATATTTTTACTTTTATGGATTATGGTTCACTTTATTTTGTTTTATTGCAACATCGTGTTAAGATTAGAAGTAGTACATGTCAACTAAAATACAAAAGCCAACACATATACAAATACATATATTACGTAACTTTTGATCATCAAACAACCAAAATCTATAAATAACTAATATATATATAACTTCATATGCCAATTTTTTAAATATTTTATAGCCCGCACAAGTCATCCACTAATATATATAACTTCATAGTTTGAACTATATGATCAATTTAAATAAAACATCTTCGTTTTTTTAGTTTAAAGAAAAATCCAAAATTAAAACAACCAATGAGATCTCCCATCTGATGTGGGAAAAGGTAATCCACTTTCCTAAACCAAAGCCACTAGTTCGACACTATAAGAGTTGACTCATAACTCAAACATTAATTGTTTCTTTAATTACTCTTTTTTATATATACAAGATTTGGAAATGATGTTTTTTTTTTTTTGGTAGCAAATCCACTAAAGAATTCACAACTTTCTCCTGGAAATGATCACCAATAAGCTATATCCACAGCCACTTAAAACTCATATAATTTCATAAAACTTGATTGGTCCGATGAACTCACTAACCACACATCCATGAGAAAGTCTTTCCTTCTAGAACCAAAACAAAAAATGCGGTACTGATCACTTTAGAACTAGAGGATAATGATTCTTCGCGGACCGTCTCATTGCGAACGCCAAGCATTGCTTGATTCTAAGTACTTTAATCAACTCGCAAGTTCTTGC